GACTGCCGGACGTGGAACGTTCAGTTCAGAGAGAGACAGAGACAGAGGCAGAGGCAGAGGCAGAGGCAGAGGCAGAGGCAGAGGCAGAGACAGAGACAGAGACAGAGGACGTATGAATATTTGACCACCGTGGCCGCGTGGCCGCGGCAGAGTGCCTCCACCCTCCGCCACCCTAACCGAGGGCCCACCTGTTCGCCAATTCTCACCGCAAACTAACACCGAACCGAAGAGCGAGCCGGGTTCAAACGCCTGGACCCGCTGATGCGCGCTGATGTGCCTTTAATTCGCTTATTTACGCCCTGCCTCCCTCCCGCCTCCAGGCTCTAAGCGCGTGGGAGAGGGGGGGGGGCTGTCTGGAGGTCGCGATTGCGACTAGACTCGCGGTCGCAGTGCGCTGCCGACGGGATTTTCACCCTATAAGAAAAATCAGTGTACACCCCCCAAAAAAAAATCCGAAAAATACCCAAAGAAAATATGATGTGCGCTTGACTTTGTAGTGAATTACCTATGCTCTTCGAGCTCCGCATTTTGAAATGAATTTGCTTCTCCACCTCGTATCTTGATCGCGACCGTGTCGTGTTCCCTGCTCGCAGATCCTGGAGAGCCGCGAGCCGCGCGTGCCCATCGTGGTGGTTGGCAACAAGACGGACCTGGAGCTGCCCGAGGGCCGGCCCATCAAGCGGGAGATCACCGAGACGACGGCGCGCCTCGACTGGGAGTGCGGCTACGTGGAGTGCTCGGCCAAGGACAACCAGAGCATCATCGACGTGTTCAAGGAGCTGCTCAACGTGTCCAAGGTACGGTCTCTCTCTCTACACACACACACACGGTACAATACAATTATTGGCTTTTTTGGTTTCTACGAAAGATGGAAAACTTTGAGGAACTCCCATAATTTGAGGAAAACTCCTCGCAGATCTCGCCTCAGATCTTGAGGAATGTTCTCAAAAACTGAGGGGAAATCCCATATTTTCTATAGATAGTAGTGCCGCCCCCCACTTCTGGCCCTGCATCGCCACATAGTTGGCGCCCACGCGCGCGCCCTGTGTCTGTGGCGGTCTGTGGTCGGCTGACCCGTTCGAGCCGGCACTTGCGCGGGGCGGGCATCGGCAGCGGCCCCCTTCACAAAAAGGCCAGGGCTGTACTGTTTTCTAACCCGCAGGACGCGCATACGCATTCGCCCGCCCACCTGGTGGCAGTTTCTGAAAATGACGCACAAAAAAACATGGAAGCAGGGAAAACAAAACACAAAATTTAAGAAATGTATGCGCCGTACCCTCCCACGCGGCCTGCGGGTTCGTAGGAAACTGAAACTTGAGTGGGTAGGTGCCCGCGGTGTCTTTTATTTTACCTATTTTTTTTTACCCGGAGCGGGTTTGTGTCCTGTGTTGTCCCCCGCCCCGCCCTGCCCTGCCCTGCCCGGCTCTGCCCCGCCCCGCCGCGGCACTTGCGGCTTATTCCGCCTGAACTTGGCTGACGTGGCGGTGGGAGTGGGCGTGCCTCTCTCCTGTAACGGACGTTCTCTCCCGCTCTCTGCTCTCTGCAATTTGCTTAAAGCCGCACTTTGTGTCCCGCGCGCTCCACGCCCCACCACGCCCCACCCCGCCCCGCCACGCCCCGCCACGCCCCGCCACGCCTCAC